CTAAACAAATCATAGTCCAATAAGTCTCATAAAATTATACTGCAGTAAATCTCTTTAAAATGCGTTACCCTAAGGGAACATCTTAGGGCCTGAGAGCCTACCCAAGATAGATTTTGGGGCCGTGGGGCCTACCTAAGAACACATCTTAGGGCCGCAGGGCCTACCCGAGAATAATCTCAGGGCCGCAGAGCCTACCTAAGAGTCACATTAGGTCTGTAAAATTTTCCAGCTTGATCAGAGTTGTACTTTATAAATTCGTATTCCAAACATTCAATTGCACCGTGTTATAAATTCCATAAATCCATAAACATGGTAATCATATACCATTTCAAAACAATTATCAAATAACAGTCATAATCCATAAATCATCACATTAAATCGGTGCATCAACAATACGAAAACCAAAGAATTCAGTGTACCACATATTAAAACAAATAAAATAGTTCAGTAATAAATAGGGAACACACCTCGATAATAGTTCAAATCGTGGATCTACTGATTGCTGGTTTCACCACGCTCTGCTACAGTTTTCGAACCTAATTTATAATATCACTATATTACTAATGGGTAACATAAATAAATCTCTAAAATCATAAAATTTACGAGTCTTACGAGTGAATACTGGTATACGTGGTTTAACTGATCTAGAAGAATTGGGTCGAGCTATCGAACGATCCGGTGAGTCTCGTGCACCTTCAAATAACAATAATTTATCAGCCCCAAATCTTACTTAATTGTTCAAAGCTAAAATTCTTAAGTATCTAAGCATTTTCCGAGTTTGACTATCAAATTGGGGTATTTCGAGTCTGAATTTGGCCAAACGGATTGCGGAATCGGAATCAGGACGTCGAAAAACATAAAGTATGACTTTCCGAAAATTCAGATTCTTGGTCAAAGTCAACCACTTTGACCGTCGATTTGGAGGCCTTCGGATTCGAATTTGATGAAACGGACAGCGGAAAAGGATTCGGCACGTCGAAAACTATCAGGATAGGTATACTCGGAAAAGATTAACGGTCGTTTAATGCTCAGTCAAAGCCATTTTAAGTTTTGGTCAAAGGAAGTCAACGGTCAACGGTCAACGGTCAACAGTCGGGTCGGGTCAACAGTCGGGTCGGGTCGGGTCAGTCGGGTCGGGTCAACCCGGTTCAGACCGGTCAAACCGGTCAAACCGGTTCAAAATTGGTCAAATCGGTTTTCCAGCAGCTCACTCTCCCTGCGGCGGCGCGTGCGGCGCGTGAACAGTGCCACGGTGTCGGAAAATTCCCGGAAAAATTTCTAAAAATTATTTTGAGCGATTTCAAGATACTTACAACGATCGGTTCAAATTTTTGAACGGCGGAGAGCTCGATTTCAAATCGGCCGAATCTTTGACTGCACCACCTCCTCACGCGCCGCCGTCTACGGCGGACAAGATTGACACCGGTGAACTCGGAACGGCACAAGGAACACGATGGTGCGGGAGGTGTCGTAAACAGAGCAACGATCAGCGGTGAATTTAAGATTTTCTCGGCGATAGAGCTAACAAAACCGTCGCTACTTTGACTGGAAATTCCCGACGTTTGGCCGCGTTTCGCTTCAATTAATTTGAAGGTTTTGCTCCTCGCTCGATGATGAACACAACGGTGGTTTCAAAACAACGATCGGAATTCGGACGGCGTCGGAATCGAGTTTGGAAGTTGTGTGCGTGAGGAAGGATTTGTGAAATTGATTTCTGTTTTTCAAAACAGAAATCACGCATATATCAATTGTCTGCCGACATTTCATGGTTAAATTTAGGGCTTGGTCCCTGAATTTTCTTTAACTTTAAAACAAGCTCCAAGTTTTAAAATCTTTCAATTCAGTCCCAAATTTTCACAATTAAACCCTCAAATTTTAATTAAATATTATTTTAAAAATCGGGTTGTTACAATACAAATAACTTAATATATATTTTTATTATTTTTAATTTCTTTTAAAATAAAGAAACATACTTACACCTATATAATTATGTATTTATTGTTAGGTACTAAAATATTAGGATATGTAGGTTGTCATAACCATTTTTTAAAATAATTATGACTTTGTTTTGAAAAATGTAAATTTTCGTTTAATTTAAAAATTGGAGTTGTCATCGACATTTATGTTAGGTTAGTCGATTACCTAACATGTCCTTTAAAAAATTTAAAGAAAAATCATTTTAAAGACAAAAATTGGTTAGCATGTTACCAGAAATTCATTTTTATGGGTTTGGGAGTCGATTACGCATGAGGAATGGTAATTACCCCACAACTCCCAAAATTGATACCCTCGATTATACGTTGTCTAAGTAGTGGAATTTTACAAATTCAAATTCAAAATTTATATTACGATACTTTTATTTTTATAAATTTTTAAAAGAATGAGTGAATCCCTTTTCAAAACATTTGAATCGATAAGGGAAAGGCTAGGTTTTTGAGGATCGATGTTTGGTTTGGTCTTGGGTTGGCGTTTGGGATATGATACATTTTGCCAGTCATGGTCAATGTGATTGTCGCCGACGGTGGAATTAGTCGTTTTATTGGATTCATAGAGATCGATGGATGCCATTGTTGAAAACGCTAGAGAAGAAAGAGTGGAGAAGAAGTATACAACTACAATATAAAATATATATTAGTTTTGTTAAGAATAAAATATTAGTTCATTAAGTTAGTTTAGTAGTTGGGTGTTTAGTATTTGTTCTAAAAGAACTTTGTTTTGAATCCCTTGGAAAGTAATTTTTTATCAAATGATTCTAACAAAACGATCTTGTTTTGGTGAAGGAGGCAAGTCAGCAACGTCAAGTGCGGAGATGCCATGTCATTGTGTTGTTAAGCCATTAACAACGGGATGACATAATTGCAGTAAAACATAAACGCCAGTGATAAAATTGATAAAATTAAAACGTCAATGGTATTTTCGAACCCGAACTTAAAGGTAAATGGTACCTAAATTTTAAATATCAAGTTGAGGATCTATCTAAAGATTCAATCATATCATAGTTAAAAAAGAAGAATATTTAATCTTTAGACATGAATTTGACATTGACCTCAAAATCCATTTAATTTGTTTTTTTTTGTTAAACTGAAGTAAATACAAGATAATATATGTTCAAAGATAATTTTTAATCTTTAGATATTGAACATTCACACCCCTGGCATCTATGGTGCTCGAACCCGGGTTCTCAAGGAATAACAACAATTCATTTACCACGAAGACCATTTGGTTCATGACAATCCATTTAATTTGATTGTTCGTACAATATATAATTTATAATTAAAATCAAATTCATGTATATTAAATCTATCAAGCACGAACCAAACGATCTCAGTGGTAAAAAATTGTTGTTATTCGTTGAGGTCCCGGGTTCAAGCACCAAGAATATCAGGGATATGAGCGTTCAATGTTAAATGGTTGAATATTTATTCTAAATTAATAAAAAATATATATTCAAAATTTAAAAAAAAATCTAAAATCCAACCTAAAAAACGTATAGGATTCTGGTCAAATGGATTGGCCGAGCCATGAACAATACAATGAACCATCAAATCTTTAATATTTTATTACCTTTACGAGATATTTTTTTATTTCATGATTTAACTATTAATTGAAGTATAACTTAAAGTGATTTTATTGATTAATAGATTTGTTGTTATCTTTTTGAGATTTCGGATTTAAACTTTTAAAAATAAGAGATATGAGCATTTATTATCAAATAATTGAAATTTTTTAATCATATATTGTATTGTTACTTAAAATATTTTACGTAAAATATATTTAAAATTATATAATAATATGAGAAGATGAAAATATTATTATAATAATATCAGTTACCATTTAAAATAATAAGTTAAATAAATTATACATTTAGTACCTAAACTATTAGTTTTAGTATATAAACTTTTATTTTTTAAAAAATTATACCTAATATGTAGTTTTTATTTTATTTTAGCACATGCCGTTAAAAACTTAACTCATTTAGTACCTAATTTATCAGTTTTAGTCCATTTTAATATCTAAATTTTTAAAAAAAAAAATTCAAAATTTAATATTAAATTTTGAATGATAATACTAAAATGAAACAAAAACTAAACTTTAAGTATGATTTTAAAAAATAAAAATTTAAATATTAAAACGAACTCAAAACATAACTTGTGGGAATATTTGGGTGGTGTGGGCTAGGATTAAGCGAGAGGCAACAATTTATTCCTATCCCATACCCAAAGGGGCGGTGCTCATGAATGCAGCGACAGTGCGAGTAAAGACAGTCGTTTTTTTTAATTTAAAATTAACATATATTTATATTTTTATATATTTTTTATTAAAAATTTATTTCCACCTCCTAAAATTTTATAAATTTAAATTTATCCATTAAAATTTTAAAATTTAAATTCATTCTTAACATAAAATCTTATGTATATCTGTGACGGGTTGCTTCTTTATATTTCTATGCCCATGTTTCCTTTTACTTTATTTGCAACTTACAGTGGATAATCATATCTAAAAGTAAAATAACATGATAAAAAAATTAAATAGATGTTTGTTATCGGAATAACAGTATTTAATAGATCAATTTTTCAGTTTAATTTGAGTTTTTTAGTTCTATATGATATATTCATATGAAAAATATAAAAAAGTTATATATGCATATCACATATAGTTATAGAAAATCATTTAAATTAGAATCAATAAGTATCATAATATTATAAATATTTATAATTAAATTTGAATAAAATTCGAACAACTCGACTCAAATTTCATGAAATTTATTTGTATAAAAAATTAAATTAAATTTTATTTATAAGATCGACTAACTCAAATTTTTTAACTCAATTTAATTCAATTAAATACTCAACTCTTAGATGGTGCAGTTTAATATAAAATTTTGAACGGGCCAACTCAAGTGTGGGTCAAGAGGTTAAACTAATGGGCTCAATTCTCCAACGAGATGCTAACTTCCCTATAACCCGATCCTCGCTTTACCATTTCATCTTCGAAAACCACGTCTTTTAGCAACTCCACTCTTCTTTCTCCGAATCCCACTCTCTCTCCATTAACGAATTTCCCTTTCATATTTCTTTTCATCTTCGTTTACGAACAGCGGTTAAATTGCGCCCGGTAACGTAAGGTTCGTTTTTTATTTATTTACTTTTATATTCATTCGATTTTGCTATTTGATTTTCGGTTTTGTTACTTTCGCTAGGGTTGGGTTTCGGCTTCGCCATATCTTTTCTGTTTCCTTTAACTTCTGTTCCTGAATTTGGTAGTTACAGTTTTCTTGGTTGATTTGCCGTTGGAATTTGAAATTTAAGCCGCATCTTTAGTTTTGTTTCAAACCATTGCTATTGGAGATTTGGGTTTTTGTTTCTATGTAATGGATTACTGTTATTTATATAATTGGTGCAAATTCGAACATGAAATTACCGACGAAAAGAAACATTCAGAGTGAGCATATAAAAGAGAGGACAAGTAATTGGCCTCCCTTCGTCACCCTTCTTGCTATGGGAGCAAGGATATAAACTTAAACCAAAAGCTATTGTTTCCATGAATTTTCAATGGAATTGCATTTTCTGTTTCTTTTATTTCCCTTCTCAATAGTTTTAAATAGTCATCTAGATTTTGTTCCTTAAGGTTAGAAGTTATTTGATTTTTTTCTAGTTAGATTGGATGTGATCTCATGTATGAATGATGGAAGTCGGGTGGTTTGGTGGTGTTGATTTAATATGTTTTGGAGTAACTGCAGCTTACGAAATTTAGGATGTTTCTGTGGCAGCAGTAGCTTATGTAATGTTGTTTGAGTTAAAGCTTTTATCAATTCATTGCATTCTGAAAGAAAAATAAAGGGGTTTAATCTTCTCATATCGTATTAATGAGATTTGACTTTCGAAGAGGGGGCATTTGTTGGAGTCCTTTGGGAAGAAAAAGGAGTCTAGATGAGAAACAGTTTCACAGGATGAGGGTAAATGAGGATGTAGTTCACCGGAGTTTTTAAACTTGGAAATGGTTTGTATTGGTTTGTAACCTCTTTTTTCTTGTGGATGTTTTTTTTAACTGATACCCAGGCTTTTATTGCTTTTTAAGAACATAGATGGTTCCTATAATCCCCTTTTCCCAAATTTTTAATTTGTTATAACTTTGTTGAAGGTTGCAACAATTAAATTTGAAGTTTCAGAGAGAAATTAGGAGTTCATCCGCCATCTTATCTGTTTCTCTTAATTCTACTTGTTTTCTCTTTTGAACTGCAACAGTTTTCCTTATGAACATAGAATCTCTATGATCAGCCGTTCCCAAATTTTCATACTCTGTGTTCCATTATTTTCTTTTAAGCATCTCTTGGATACTGGCCAATGAGCTTATGTTTGTCTAGAATGGATTGATGGCCGTGAATTGGATTTTTTGTGCCTGTTCATGAGTTTGTATCTGGAAAGATGGCTATTTGAAAGAGATGGCTGGACTTTCCATGAGGAATTTGGTTGAGGTGGGGGTCATCAAGTACTTGGTGCCGACTGCTGAATTGAGTGGTTTGTAATCAATATATGATGTGGATTACTTGTTGATTGTAATGTGTATTTTACTCTTGGGATTTGGTGTTTGTATTTTGGAGGGAATGGTGAGAGGTCTGATATGGCTCATGGATGATGATGGGTGTGTGGTTATGCTGTGGACAGGGTGGAGCAGTAGCAGTTTGTGTGTTGGTAAAGGTGGTTTTTTTGCTGATCTGTGGAGGTTGGTGTTGATAAACTTAAGTTTGAACATGAGTTCAGACAGCAGGAGCAGGAGCAGGAGTCCCATGGGTCGTAAGATCCGATCTGGTCGCGTTTCTTACCGTAGTGCACCATACAGGAGGGAGTCTCGGCGGGGTTTCAGGTTTTCTAATTTTCAAGCATTTAGTTAATTTTCTTTCCTCAACTAGTTATTTGATCCTCAACTAGTTATTTGATCCGAGGAAAAATGAATTAATGTATAGTGCTCAAAAAAAGTTTTGCCTATAACCTTTAATATAAATATTTAAAGGATATTGAGTGTTATGACTACACCGAAAGAAGGCACGGGTGTTTAAAGACTTGGGGGTTGGCTCATGGCTGAAAACATTTCGAGTCTTGATAATTTGCCCATGTCACGCCAAAACAGAACCTATAACATTTTTATCATTTTCTGCTTGTTTATTTTATCTATGTGGCTGTTATCATATATTGTGTGGAACCTTTTAGCCTTTCAGCATGTATGGGTTGAGGTTAGGTTTTTGTGGATGAAAGAAGTTACCACTTTTGTGGTTTATTACTTTCTGTTGGGATGCTGGAAAGTTCATTACTAACCTGGCTTCTGTATGTGTATGTCTCATAATGTTTTTCCTTTTGTTTTCTAGGTATATATATGTGTTCTTTTTGTCGACAGAATTTCCGTAAAGAATAGTGATCTAACAATTGTTGAAATATTTGATTCCACTTTTCTTTCTTTCCAGTCAAAACAATCTATGCAAGAACTGCAAACGACCAGGTCATTATGCTAGAGAGTGCCCTAATGTGGCAATTTGTCACAATTGTAATCTCCCTGGGTAAAGAACCTTCTCCCCTGGCTGTTAAACCTTGAATCTGATATATCTTTTTAGCTGATTTTAGTTTGTTTTTCTGTTGTCTGTGTGACCTTTTATTTGGCATTTTTATGTTCAAGGTGTCAAAAAAACTCAAATTTTTGTTTTGTTTAAATATGTAATTCTGTCAAAACTCGGTCGTTCATTAGCTAATTTTTATCCATCATGTCATGTATCAAATTCCTATTATTTTGCGGTTTATACTTTGATTAAATTTGTTTCACACCTTTTCTTTAACATTTTCCTCTTTTTAATGAGAACATGAATAAACTAAACTAGATCTAATTATGGAATTTTAAATGTGCTTTGTTAATTCTTTGTCGGTTCTCATTGTATGAGTAAGATTGTAGTGTCTTTATGATGGAGCAGTTAGGCCAAGCTATGCTGCTTTCTTGCAGTTGTGGAGCTGTTCTAACCTTGCAGGAACTATATGAACAGGCACATTGCTTCTGAATGTACAACCAAGTCTTTATGCTGGAACTGCCGCGAACCAGGCCACACTGCAAACCACTGTCCAAATGAGGGAATCTGCCACACCTGTGGGAAGTCTGGGCATCGTGCCAGAGACTGCACTGCTCCCCCAATGCCACCTGGGGATGTGAGGTTATGCAACAATTGCTATAAGACTGGTCATATCGCCGCAGACTGTACAAATGACAAGGCATGTAACAACTGTAGGAGGCCTGGTCACTTGGCACGCGATTGTGCAAACGATCCCATCTGCAACTTGTGCAATGTAGCTGGACATATGGCTAGGCATTGCCCAAAATCCAACATGATTGGAGATCGAGGCTTTGGCGGTCGGGGTGGTGATTATCGAGACCATCGAGACATTGTGTGCCATAATTGCCATCAGTTTGGTCATATGAGCCGGGATTGCATGGGGCTTTTGATGATCTGCAACAACTGCGGTGGAAGAGGACACATGGCGTATGAGTGTCCGTCGGGGAGGTATTTGGACCGCTACCCTCGGAGGTACTGATGATCCATGCCACTTCGTGTCGGTTGCAATCTATATATTAGAAGTATGGTTTACTTTGTGATTGAAGGTTTGGAACTTGATGGATTTTCCAATTTGGATTATCAGAGTAGTGATTTGCCGGAGTTTGTGTGAAGTAATAGCTTTCATTATGACGCACAATTGTGTATCATAACAGAAAGCTTTATTAATGGCTAAACTTTGTGATTGATTTCCGGTTCAACTCTTTTTTCATACATGCATTGTAAAATCAGTGAGTAGCCGACGTGCTAATAACTCTTATTGCAGGTCATAATTACATAAATAATTTTAATTTAAAATTGGTTGACATGCCTTTAGGCTAAAATGAAGAGGACAAGCTCGAGTAACTCAGGCTGTGATTGGAGAGAAATATACGACATTCAATGGCTGTCCCTTATTCTCATATGTAATGGGATAAGGGAGAGGTAAGATAGTAGGCTGTTCCCAGCATCAGATTGAGAGTAATTTTCGTAGAAGATCTTCGAATTATGAAATGTCTTCCGTGGGATTCGATCTCACGACTTCAAGATTAAAAACCTTGTACTCTACTAACTGTGGATGTTCGTCTCAAAGACATGACATTCAATTATTTTATTAATTTCTGCCGTAATGTTTTCCAATATTAAACAAATTAATGAAACAATTTCCAACGACCAATCTAATCGTAATTCAACAGTGAAATAAATTAAGCCAATCCTAACAAACTACTAATCTAAAATCAAAACATTTAACTTATTTTTTTTCGTATTTTTCCTGACCAATTTTTTTTCTCGTATTTTTCCTAACCAAATAAGTTGCATTCAACTTAAAACAATCTCAATGAGTAATATTTAAAAAAATAATATTTGAAGTAATTAAATACAAAATTTTCTAGTTTTTTTCAAAATCAATGTATAAGATTATTTAATATTTTTTTAAAAATTGTTTAATCAAGAAAAAAAAAAGGAGACGTGATTATGAAGCAGGCATTTATTTGTTGCAGAAAAAACAAATGAGAATGGTTTCACTGAACGTGTTTAAGACTTGAGGGACAAGAAAAGCAAGATGGGGAGCCTCGAAATTCGTTGCGTTGGGGCGAATCAAAAAATAAAAATAAAGATAAAATGTTTTATTTATTTATTTATAATCCTTCAACAATCGAACATCCATTTCTCTCCAATTTCTCAGACTAACCAGCCATTTCCCGTTAGCCGCGTCTTTCGCCGCCCACCTGAAAGAAATTATTTTCAATCATGGCGACTCTATAAAATTATCTATTTTTAATTTCTTTCTATAAAATTATCTCTCTCTTCTTTCTCCGGCCTCGCACCCAATTTGGTTGCTTCCCTCCTTTCTTGGTTCTCTTCCTCTTTTCCACCAGTTTTTCTTTTCCTTTTAGATTCAAAGCAAAAATGAGCGCGTATAAGCGCGTGGTTCAATTTGGGTTAAATGCATATTCAAGTTCCCTTGTGAATGGGACCGGGCATCGGCCGATTTCTCAACTCGTTAAGTCCAATGGAAAGCGTGCATTTCTCGTCGATACATTGGCTCTGGTACTTCTTTTCTAAAACTCCATTTCATTTGAATTTCCTGTTGGTTATCGAGAAAACCTAGGAATATGGAGACGTGAGCATTTTTTAAGCATGTTTCACATAGGAAAGTCAATTCGATTTCCTCCCCTTTTTCTTACTCATCGTATATATTATAGTTAAGTCGATTGGATTTGTTTACTCGCCAAAACGAATCGGTGTTTATTCCGTTTCTTTTCCGAAAATTTTGAATGTGGAACTCTTCGATTTGGTTCCTCTTTTAAATTTGAGTTATTTTTGCAATATAATAGGTTCGAAGTTTGGAAGCGCAAGGCGTGCCTTCTAAACAAGCGGAGGCGATAACGGCTGCTATCACCGAAGTACTAAACGACAGCTTGGAGAATGTATCCCATTCTTTTGTTTCGAAGTCAGAAATGCAGAAAGTAAGTTTGATATTTTTGTTTCGATGTTTTTAATGTTCCCTTGACCATGTATGTTCATTGCGAGTACGTGGGGTACTAAATTTTGCTTCATTCTACCTTTTGTAGTCTGAAATGCTCCAAGAAGCCAATTTATCGAAGTTTAAATCGGAAGTAAAAAGTTCCCAGGTACTAATCTGTATGCTTAATTGAATAAAAACTAATTGGTAAAGGAGAAAGAAGAAATTCTTGTTATGTGCTAATTTTTGTAATTTGGATCTTACCTTTTGATAGAATTGAACACTCCAATCAATCTCTTATTGAATCTAATGTTTCCAATTCTTAAGAAATATTGGTTTTTTTTGTTCCTTTTCCAGCATTCTTTTGCACTAGCCTTATGTTGCTAAAGTTGAAAGAAGGAATTCTTGTTATGTGCTATTTGTGCATTAGGGTAATTGAGATTCTATGTGCTATTTTAATGCCTCTTTGTTCTAGTACTCTTTGCCCCCATTTTTTTTTGACAATTAAGTAGGGGTGTGCATTTGGTCGGTTCGTTTTTTATATGTCGATAATAAACTGATTAAATCATTAAAACCGAATAAATCAAAACGACTTTATTGTCATTTGTCAAAACTGAAATAACTGTCCGAAATCAATCCCAAACTGAACCGAAATAACTCTAGACTGATCAAACCAAATTGATAATTTTCTTTTTTACTTTTTAAATATTTATTTATAAAATAAAAAATTATCATTGTAAATTTAAAAATTTATATTGAATTAAATTAAATAACTTGATTGAGGCATTTCATATTTGGGTATTTAATTTCATATTTATATTAAATTAATTAAGCATATACATATAATTTATTACTTAAAAAAACTTATTTGGTTTATTTGGTTTGGATTTTCAAAACTGAACATAATTAATTGTCGAAATTGAAAAATTTAACCGAATATATTGGTTAAATCAGTTCTGTTTACTAGGTTAATTCAGTTTAACCGACTTTTTGCACACCCCTTTAGGTAAGGAAGGAGGTGAAGAAGAAAGTGGAAATGACAAATCTTGTGTTGAATGTTAGGTGTAGCTTAGAGAACACTACATGGTGGGTTTAGAATTAGATGAATATTTTGAATTTCAGGTACAAAAGAAACCGATGCTTTGGAACTAAACTATGCTTAGCTATTGGCAACATGTTAAGTTTTTGGTTTAAAAGTTATTCTAATATGGAGAGTGTATGTAGAATGGAACTAAACTGCAGGTGTGTTATTGGCATTAAGTTTCATTAGATAAACTTTTTATACTTTCTGAACCCTTTCTGGGAAGGCTATGCTTATGACTAGATCTCATAGCAGAGTTCGCTGTATACTTGACTTACGTGGGTGCTATCAACTTCATCCGTATAAAAAATGCTTAAATATGATCGTCATTTTGTGTATTACCTGATTTGCTCATTTCTATATTTCTTAAAATTTTTGTTTCTTGGTGTTTACTGGAATGTTGCGCTCTTCCATTCTGTTATCATGATATTATTTTGGGCCATACTGGTGAAACCTAGAACTTCCTGTTTCTTCAGTTTAAATGTTAGTCTTCATTGCAATATGGAGCTAGATCATGTTTTTTTCCGTGCTTATTGTTCTGTAATTGCTAGTTTTGTTTTCACTTTTTCTCATGTAAATGTCTTTTTCGGTATAAATGATTCTGAATGTTCTCTTTAGTTCGAACTCGTGTATTCTTAATTACATTTTCACAGTGTAGAGTGTACATTGCAAATACTTATAGGCGTGTAGTCTTTATGTGGTTTCTTAATGATTATTTCCTTTTAATGCAGGAACATCATTTCTCTATGTTGCAGCGTGAAACTGAGAAACTTAGAGGTGACATAGAAAAGATGCGAAGTGAACTAAGGTATATTTTCTGGATTATAATGAAACTGTTTCTTACTTTCATGAAAATTTTGATGGTTTGATTTTATCAAACTAATCTCTCAAACAGGTATGAAATTGACAAGGTTACTGCTGGGCAGCGTCTGGATCTAAATCTTGAAAGAGGGTAGGTAGACTTTATTTTCTGTTGCTTCTCTTCATGAGGACCATTCCTCGCTTTACTCTCTCAACTCCTTAACTGATTCTAGGCGCATACGTGATGAGCTGGCCAATCAGAATGCAGAAACGACCAACCTGACTAACAAGCTAGATAGGGTGAGTGTGCTTGTTTATTTCATTTGAAAATCTGTGTATAGATGCTTTGACATACGTCCTAAAACTGGTATTTTGAATCATATACAGGAAATTCATGCATTAAGAGCCCAGTTAGAAGCTGCAAAATATGATGTGATCAAGTATTGCATAGGTACCCTCGTCTCCATATCTGCGGTTGGATTAGCTGTAGTCCGAATCTTGATGTAGCCTCAAACCTGCTTCAAGTAATTCCAACTTTTCCTACATAAATCCCAAATTTCATTTTATTTTTCTGGCGACTGCATTTCTTGGGGAGTAAAAAGGGGTGGAAATTACTTTAGATTTTCGTATAATTGGCAAGGAATGACAAATCCGGGTTGATTGGAACAATTATTTGTGCTTCTTTTAGGATTAAGCACGGCTTATTCTGCAAACTCCTTTTTTCTTGATATGTTTTATTATGTCATTTTTAGGGAGGCAAAGTTAAGGATATATAACCAAAGATTATTGCTAGCCTAGGCAATGGTGCAAATGTATGTATTCTTCAGAGTTGGCTTTTCTTTTATATGAACGAATGGTTTGCCTTTTGTGCTAGTTGATAGAAATGGTTTGAAACATTTTTAATGTAAAAGTATCATTCATTCATTATTTCATGACTTGATTGGTTTATTGCTGTTATTGTGCAAGTGCTTTGATTATAGAGTACATACCATGTCTTGTTTCTTTATTCAATTAGTTTCTGATTTGTTGTGAACTCTATAATCAAATGATGTTTCTTTTTGTTCCATAGTTTCTGATTTTATGAAGCATGTAACGAGAATATTTCTATTTTATCAAAAAATACATTATAATTTGAAAGAATTATATAACATGAAAATCAATTTAGAAAAAAAAGAGATGCATTGATAAAAATCATAAAATAAAGTTCATGCACCTATATATGAACCATTTAACTAACTTTGGATTTTCCAATCGCATCAAAGGTTGCTATTGCCTTGCCTGTTGCAGCACATTGGCCTACCAAGTGTACCATTTTGTTATCATCAAAGTGGTCCATTAAATGATGTTAGGACATGGTCTTTCGGGCCACTGAGTGAGTAGTTTTCAACTGAGTCACACTCCCATATTTCAACCACTTCGGCATTATTATACCCCCCACTTTCATTTCGTGGAAGCTTTATTATGTTTAAAGCTTTGGCACCTTTAGAATTATAACGCTGGTTGGCGCCGGCTGGATCATTTTGAACGACTCGAAATCTTATCATTTAATTATAAAAAAATCCAATAATCCAATTTAAATTGATTTGAATTTAAAATAATTTGAACGTGTAATGGATGGACTAAAAATTAAATTCTAAGCCAAAACAATCCCGTTTTAGAACAAATCTAAATCTTAAAAAGTTCTGAACTGAAATACATTAAAAATTTAAATACAAAAAAGTTCTAAACTATGAAGTATAGATAAAACTAAGAAAATCTAACCCAATAACAGTTGAACCCTGGTCATGTGAACCTATCCTGGTATACCTAACTTCAAAAACTCGGAATCATCCGGGTTAACTCAGATGAACCCAGTGCTGCTGTTCCTTTCTTTTTCCTCATCTCCAAAACTTTCCGGTGACTGTTGGAGTGCATGTCACCGGAAAAAGTGGGACTACAAGCCGGTCTATATTCAGGAAGAAGACGACCGGACTTGTAACGAACCCCACAAGCGTTGCATAAGGTTTTGGCTCCAAGAGGACCGGTTCTCCACTGTGGAGTCTTTTGAACTTGGCAATGACTACACCTCCGTTGAAAAGGGTTCCCACTAGACAACCCACTACCTCGAATCGCCACCGGCCTTTTCTTTTGCCTCTTGGTTGGCGGTTCCGTCAAATCGTTAACCAACCCCGAACAAATACTCGAAGACGATGCCGTCGAAGACGATGACTCGGAAATAGGCAGTGACCCAACCGACCATGTCGGGATAGCCGGTTTAGCCCTTTTGCTCCTCGCTTTAGATGGAACTGACAATGAAAAACACGGCGTTTTCACAAAAACCTGGCCAGGTCCCGCTTCAAACCGAGTATTTTCACTGTTCTCGGTTTGCTGCCTAAAAACCATGCATGGAAAAGGAAGCTCCGGCAACGAATCATCCACAAAGTGAGACACCCATTCAAGCCCTGCTATTTCATCATCCTAAAAGAGGGGGAAAAAACAGAATCAAAAATAAATTTTGAATTTAAAAATAAAAATAGTAAATTCTTTTTTAATAATTTATTTACAGAAACGGAAATTACCGGAACAGAAAGTTCGCTGGTAAAGACGGAATCGAGGGTAAAACTGCTGGAATTTGAATTACTATCATCGTCTGCTACACGTTCTTGATACGAACCAGGGACGGAGTCTTTTTGTTCAACGGAATCTTCTTCAAATTCTCCGTTATTGAAATCAAGGAAACAGTCAACGGAAAAATCTTCGTTGGGAACGGCGCCTCCGTTGATAACATTCATGACCAAGAAATCATCGAAAACAACATGTTGGGTTTTTTGCATGGTGAGTTCTCCTCTTACACTCGATTTCAGTGCTCTCAGTTCCATGCAGTGTTCCATTATTCCTATATATGCCCAAGAAAACAAATCGACTTCAACATCAATTTTTTTAAGTTAGAATTATGAAAGATCACAAAAGAGTTATTATATATATGAAATTATGAGTTACCTGGTAAAGATGGAGGAGAAAAATGAAGAATGAATGTAAGAGAGAAGACCAACTGATGGAAAGGTTAGGAAATGGCCTAGGCTTGTTCGTGGGCGAAACTAATGCTATAGTTAATGCTTTATCTCTTCTTCTTTTATGTCTATCAACCGAATTTTCCTTTTTCGTGTATGTGTTTTTAGTCCCTCTATTTCGCTAAAATTGAAGAGCTAATGTCTCAACTTTAATTTTTTTTTTTTTTTAATATTATTACCAGGTTAAAGTTGATGTTATTTTCATGATTGAATCGTAATTCAATTAGCATGGTGGTTATTATAACACTCATAATACAATTTCAAGCATATTTATATGTGCATTATCCTCTTATTTAAACTATTTGAAGAGGTATATAAATTAAGTATTGTATAGAAAAATTAATATTATTACTCAGTCACACAGTTAAATAACATATAAAAACTAAATCAATCGTATACGTATTTAACCAATTAAATTTACATCCAAACTAATTGCGTAAAATTGTTTTAAAATTACTTGGTAAACTATATCAAATTAAAATATATGGATCAACTCTCTAATTTCACCATACTGTAAGGACTAAAACCAGAATAAACCATTTTCCATTTATGGTCAAAGTTGGTTAATTCACTGTTGATGATTGGTCTGTGAGGGAGATAGTGACAGCCGGTCACTGGCGCTAAGATAAGTTCAAAACACTAAAACGTAATGAACTATCCACGAAACCGCCGTCATTTTCACGCCTTTTTTTTCTTTCCGAATTGGCACTCGTTTTTTAGGTTATTTACAAGATTAGTACTTATTTGATTTGCCGCGTTAGTCTCGGGACTTTTTGCGATAGTGGAAGATTTTATAAGCAAGCGACGAGCTTTTCTGATCTGAATATCCAACGGCTCATGTTTTGAATGGAATCACGTTTTGACACATGGTCATGATACGGTGGGAATTTGCGTGTGTAAATTGTCGACGCATATCAGGCGTGTTGAACAACGGTCATTTACTAGTTAGGGTGATGAATATTTATATGGATTTGATTATATTTAAATTTTAGGGTAAATTCCACAAACGGTCTCTCAATTATATAATAATAGTCAACCGATTATTTATGTGTTTCAAAATCATCATTTTCCATTAGAAAATTTACTGCGGTCTGAGATGAACGTTAACCTGTTGACTGAAATATGATCCTAGAATCTAAAAAGATTATCATATTTCAGTCAACATGTTAACGTCTAACTCAGACTACAATAAGTGTTTTAACAAAAAATGACGAGTTTGGAACATATAAATAGTTGTCACAATTTTGTAATTTTTAATAGTCGAATGACTCAACAAAGCAACGTCATATAGTTAAGGCACTATTTTATTACTTCTAATAGTTGAGAGACTCAATAAAGTAACATCTTCTAGTTGGGGATCATTTGTATTCTTTACGTTAAATTTTAGGATAAATTACACATTTAATATCTAAACTATCAATTTTGGTCCATTTAATACCTAAACTTTCATTTTTTTTCAAAATCATACCTAATGTTTAATTTTAATTCCATTCTAATACATATGTTCAAGTTTTAACGTTAATTTTTGAAAACAAATTGAAAGTTTAGATATTAAAATGAATCAAAATTGATAGTTTAAGTATCAAACGTGTTAATTTTTTTAACAGTCAGATACTAAAATGAAATAAAAACTAAACATTATGTATGCCTTTAAAAAATTGAAAGTTTAGGTATTAAAGTGTATTAAAATTGATAGTTTAGGTATTAAATGTGTAGTTTATCCTAAAATTTATTTAAAAAAAAATATCATTCGTGAATTTTATATACTAAAATATTAATTGATGAAGCAGAAAATTAAAGGCGGCGGTCCGTCGATGAAAGAACCGCCTGTGTGTAATTTTGTTCACTGGAAAACAAGACACTTGGCACGCCACATTGGAATACTTTATTATGCCTAAACGACAATCCCACTTCTTAATACACTCACGTGCATGACCAAAACGTGAACTAAGCTCATCTCCTCGTAATAAACTCGATGTTGGAATTCAAAATTCAAGGTCTAATACTCAAATCGTTATCATGTTAATAGAACACAGAGTTTAGCCGTAACTTTCGTTCAAATTAATGTAATGCTTTTAAGAAATAAATTTTTAAAAGTAAATGTAACTTTAATTTATAATTAATTCAAAGGGCTTAGATGGTAGTTTACCTAATGTTGAACCAATTTCTTTGCCAAATTTTATTACGTGATTTGCAGAGAAAATGTTGTTTTAAATCATCGTCTAATATAATATATCAATTCTACTTAATTTGTCGTACCTAATTTTGCGTTTATTTATATAATCATATTTAACATTTTTCTAAGTATAAATTACCTTCATTTTCGGGATATATTTATCTTCTCATTTTTCATATCGGAACACTCGTTCACTTTGTTTTGCCAACATTGTTAAATAAACTCTTAAACGTTACCATTTCATTTAAGAGTAAAGTACACGAATGGTCCCCTGATTATAGGGTATTGCTTTATTAAGTTCTTTGACTAGTAAAAGTTACAAAATGATCTTCCGGCTAAAGAGTGTTACTTTTTTGAGTCCCTCGACTATCGAAAGTTACAAAACTGATCATCTGACTATTCATTATATTCCAAACTCGTCATTTTTCATTAAATAATTAGCAGTATTATGTGTTGAACGTAAACTTTTTTATCTCAAAATCTCAAATGACTATCACCTCAGTCATCATATTAACGTCCAGCTTAGAAAACTGCTAATTTTTTAACGGAAGAGGACGAGTACGAGTTCGGAACATAATGAATAGTTGGGTGACCATTTTGTAACTTTTGATAGTCGAG